AGCAGAAAATTACTCAAACTTAGTCAGAATCATCTTTGGTGAATGAGAGTATTACTTTGGAAAATTGGGATTCCTGCCCCATCCCCAGGGGCTAGGGAAGGGCCCCAAAGGGAACATTTACCAATATTTTCAAATTCTTATCCTTTGATGACATGACAAGTATTGTATTTCACTTAGTTTACATGCTGATTTCCACATCACACCTAAACAATAAATTAAAGCTACCAGTACCTACCTATGATATAACTCAGGTGACCGCTAAGGCCCTTGGGCCTCTTGTTATGTTTTGTTTTGTTTCCTTTTAAATTAGCAGGAGTGGCCATGCATTCAAACATAAACGGTGATTCTAAAAACTCATTGAGGCAAAAAGTGCTATCTCTATTAATCTGATTAGAGGGATCTTATAGAATTTTATTTTTGACACTTTTATTCTCCGACGGTTGAGGCCAGGGTGGCCAAGTGGTTAATTGAGGCGTGTGACATTCTTCTACCACTAGCCCTGGGGCAGTCGCCAGGTACTGGCCGTAGGTCAGTGGTTTCTCTCCGGGAACTCTGGCTTTCCTCCACCAACACAACCTGACACGTCCTTAAATGACCATAGCTGTTAATATGACGTAAAACATAAACAAACAAACAAAACAAAACAAAAGTGACGGCAGGGTGTGTGCATTAGTTCAATGTTTATTTATTTCATGGAGGTATGAAAAAAGAAAACTAATACCATTTATTTGATATGAGTAAAAGGAAAAAGAATTTTTCATAGTTTAACATTTTACTTTCTTTTTACTCTTGTTCTTTGAATTTGTAAAGATCTGGGTGAATAACTCGAATGTAAGTAAAAACTAACATGTATGTAAATAAGTATATCCAATTGATGTACAATATTTTAGATGTTAAACAAATTTTTTTTCATAGTTTCACATGCTTATGAAACTGAATTTTTATTTAATGTTTTCCAGCTAGCAGTTATAATGTAGAAATGTCTATATGTTTTGGAAGCAAAATGAACACCTGAGTAGTTAGCTTGAGATTCTTAATGAATCACTCTATCATATACATGTATAAATGTGTACAGTAAGTTTTAAAATTTATTTTGCAGAAATATTCAAAATTGATTCAATAACATTTTCTTCTTATTAAATAGAAAATGTGCTCCTGGTACTTTCACTTTCAATACTGGTATCAGGGAGACGGGAGCATGGATTACATCTTTAATTTTGTTTCCCACTACATTATAGATTATAAAATATCAGCAGTGACAATTAATATCAACACAGGGAAAATGGAATAATCACTCTGTTGTTGAACTGATGGAAAATTTAAAGGAAAAATGGAACCAAGACAGATAATTCATTTGGTAGTATTTTGTTACAAATGGGTGAATTTTTAAACTGAAATGGGGAAAATAATACCTAAATTGGAGAGGGAAACTGGCCCATATTCAGCCCTGACAAAGGCCTGCATATACCCATGGGTATACAAATATATTGATTGGAAATACTATCAAAGATAATTACATAATCAAATACAAAGTAATAACCATATGTTTGTTGGACACAGAAGAGGAATTTACTAGCTCTGTTCCATGTTTCTATCGAGACAGTCATAACAATTATATAAATAGTGACGAGGTCTGTAATAATATGTTAATGGCATTTAAAGTGCATGATGCCAACCCTGGAAATATACTCCACATCGGGGTCTGTTCTAGTACTCTATACAGATACAGATACAAATGCTTGTCATTCATTGTTATTAGGTTGGTGCATATGTGCAATACATGTATATTTCAAGGTAAACAAACTGTTAGAATGTCTAGTTTGAAACAAGTTTTCTGATATGTTAAGTTCAGTTGTACTGTAGTTTTTGGATTAGTTGACAGGGTGATGTTTATATTTCTGGATTTATACAGGAATAATAAGGCTTCATTTTGTGGAAGTTTGTGGTATATGCAAGAGTCAGTTTATTGTGGTCCCTGGGTTACACAGTGTTAACTTTATGAAGGTTCTGGATTATACAGGGTTCAGTTTATGTAGTTTTCTCTACTATACATGGTTAACTGTATGCATGTTACTGATTTATACAGAGTCTAACTTTATTTATGTTTCTGGATTTTACAGGGTTCAGTTTACAAAGTTTCTGGATTATATACAGGGTTTAGTTTATGAAGGTTTCTGGATTAAACAGGGTTCATTTTTTGTAGGTTTCTGTTTTATGCAGGGTTCAGTTTATGTTGCTTTCTGGATCCTACATAGTTCAGTTTATATAGGTTTCTGGATTATACAGGGTTCAGTTTACAAAGATTTCTGGATCAAACAGGGTTCACTTTATGTAGGTTTATGGATTATACAGGGTTCAGTTTACAAAGGTTTCTGGATCATACATGGTTGTTTATGAAGATAAACAGGTTTAACTTTATGCAGGTGTCTGGGTAATACAGGTTTAACTTTATGCTGGTTTCTGAGTTATACAGGTTTAACTTTATGCAGGTTTCTGGGTTATACAGGTTTAACTTTATGCAGGTTTCTGGGTTATACAGGTTTAACTTTATGCAGGTTTCTGGGTAATACATGTTTAACTTTATGCAGGTTTCTGGGTAATATGTAGGTTTACTTTATGCAGGTTTCTGTGTTATACAGGTTTAGTTTATGCAGGTTTCTGGGTTATACAGGTTAAACTTTATGCAGTTTCTGGGTTATACATGTTTAACTTTATGTAGGTTTTTAGATTTGACAGGTTGCTAATCTTTATACAACATGTCTGATTTCACTGATCACATAATTTCAGTGGATGTTGATGTTTCCTTTAGAATAGGAGTATGTACCTGTAACTGTGCTACAAAACTTATATAAAATACAAGTTGACTCATTCTGCCCGTAACTGATGTGTTTCTCGTGTTTATGTTTTCCAGGTGTTCAATACAGGGCTGCAGAATTGATTCAGCACAGAAAACCAGAAGATTACGGGATTTAAAGAGAGGTCAAAGGTCAGCTGCTGTTGAACAGGGCATGTGTTAGCGGAGATCAAACGACTCAAGAATAGACTATCACCACATGTCCGCCTGACCAGACGACATTTAACCAGTGTATATGATTTGAAGTAAACCAGGCGATATAACAATAAAAGTCGATTAAAAAACATCCTTGTATACCGATTTTAATCTGCAACTGATAAATCACCAAGAATTGGGAAAAACACTGTGGAAACAAGTTTGAGGAACCACATTGTGTGGTAAGTAGATTCAAGTAATCCATGTATATCATTAAAGTTTTATAAGCTCATATAACCAAATATTTTCCTTTTTATGAAGTCCGTCCAACACATTATTGATTTTGTCCCTGTTTTAGCTCATGTTATATAAAGTGCTTGTGAGCTAATGCTACAGTGCAGAGTCCACTAACTGTTTGTCATTTACATCTTCTTTAAGTAACTTCTTCTTGAGATCATTGACTGAAAGGCATAGAGGTTGCTCAAATGAATGAACTTTACCATTGTTTTAGGTCACAGTGGTCAAACATCCGTTCAAAAATTGAACGGCTTCTTCTAAAGATCGATAACATCTATCTTCATGAATGTCCTATACATAGCTTGTTAGAGATGAAGCCTTAAGGACTCTTTTGTTCAAAGAAATAACCTTGACCCACTTTCAAGGTCAGAGTGAGCTTCAAAGGTTTGATGAAAATAAGAGTAATTGATAATGTGCAGTATGGCTTGCTGTTCTCAAGAGATATGAAATGTTCTTAAATCAATTATCTTGACCCATTTTCAAGGTCCCTGAGTGAGTGGTAACAAATTATTCTAAGAGTTAATACAGATTAGAGTTATTATATTCAGCCTATGGCTTGCTCAGGTCAGTCAAGGGATACAATTAATATACTAAAATTAATGACCTTGACCTACTCCTTATAGGTCACACTCACTGAGGTCAAACTTCAAACAGTTTTGATTGAATGTTTATAATAGTCACTGCCATTGGAGCTTTGTTTTTTTTTTTATTTTGAAAACATTGAATTTAGGATAATGTCGTCAACTACCAAAATAGGTATATTGTTAACATTTCATTACAGGACTTTGAAAATACATGGGAGGGTTACTCATGTTTAAGTCTGTGATTTTCCGAAGATACTCAACTGATTACCACAACACAATATACCCCCGTATTCATGAAACTTTTCTCGTGCTCATGCAAGCCTGGATTTGTACTCGAACCAACTTCCTTATCGCTTGCATTTAATTCATGTGACGCAGTTAAAAAGTCAAGCATGACCATTTAAAATTATGTTCAGGTTGCAATCCAAGTCAGAAATGCTTCCAAATCATCGACAATTTTTTTCCATTAACTCAATCACCCCTAGGCCTACATACCTAAACTGGACTTGCCCAATTTATGATTTGGTAAGGTTAAAAGGGGACTTGAGGGGTAAAAGGTTTATTTATAACCGGAACAAGAAATTTGGCTTGAGCATAGAATCTGAGTTTGAGGATGAAATCTGTTTCATGAATACAAGCCCGAGACTGAAATGTAAAACATCAGAATAAAAGCTAGCTCTGTATGCTGACCATGCTGTGTAGATTTTATAAGTTATTCTGTTGAATGTAATATTTCTGATACAAGTTTCATAAGGTACGTTTCATTAATGCTGATTTCTTAAGCTAAGCAATATCAATCTGTACTACGTATACAGTGAACTGGAATAACCTTGTCATTCTATCCTCTGTAATGTTTACAAGCAAATATTTGATCACTTACTTCTGGATTTGAGCCCACATGATCCTGTCTGTATTGAATATTTTTTAACACTATTATATCCATCCTAGGGTGAACTGGTGCAGATTTCTCGAAATTAAAACACTTTCGGATTTATCAGGTTTCTAAGAATTTGATTTGGCCATAAAACATGTCCCCCCCCCCCCCGTCATAGAAAGAGAAAGATATTTGACTTGAACATCCATGCATGTATAATTGTTCATGTGTTGTAGTTGTAATAAAATTTTGTCCAGCCTGTAACTTTAGAGCCTTTTAGAGTGGGGCTGGAGGTTGTATATACGAATCACCCTCCTGTCCATGAACCTCCTAAACTTCTTGTAAGATTGTTTGTCACTAATAATAATGGCACCGCGAAAGTAACACCATTAGATAGATGTGCATAAAGAATGGTCTATTTACGATTTTGCATTTTTTTCCTGGCTGTTTTTAAGTTCTGCTCCATAAACCTTGTAAGTGTAACTCCTCCTTAACTGTGTGTTAAATTTTTTCATAACTTTGTACAGTGAAAGTACATTATATGTAGATGTGCTTGACGGAAGGGATTTGTGATTTGGGTATATACCCATGGTAAACAAGGTTTGAGTACATTCAGATAAAAGGGAGCTGGGGTGGTATCTTTGGGAGTTCTCTCACAGTCTAGATCTCTAGTAAGAATGGGTATTTTGTTTTGACAATTGAAATTGATGGTCAGTTGTAAGTAAAAAAAAATTGTACCTTACTATAAAATATACTTAGAACAAAAAAGGAAGCCAGCAGTTTATAGTCATATCAGTTCTTCTCTTTCCTATGTATATTAATTATAAATGGCAATTGTAATTTTTACCATTTACACTTATCAATGATACCAGTTGAACCAGGAGGTTGAAAAAGCAAAATGCATTATAAATGGTGAAAGAAAGTTAACTAAACAGTTTACAGTTTGCAATAAAATTTTGTACATCAGTAAAACTGCAAATATTCCACGTGTTATAATTCATCACCGCATAAAAGTACATGTTCATTATTTTGAATGTCATTTTAGAATTACATCTTACGCAATTACTGACATGGCGTTTGAATATTCAGTATCAATGTATAGCTATTACAAAATTGAAAGTTGTTTTCTGTAAGGAAACCACAGGAGCTATATGGTGAGTCAGTTAGGATCCTGAGGACATTTAAACTCATTCACCCCTGACATTTCATAATGAACTATTCCAACCTTTGAATTGGAAGAATTTAAATGTGTCTTTAGGGGCAAGTGAGTTAAATGTGTCTGTAGAAAATCAGATCCTGTTCCTGATGCCTGTATAATGTTACATGGAAATCTAATGTCAGGTGTTTACAATAGAGTTTGTAAATGGCAGTAGGATGTGTTTATGTCAGGCCCACTCCGAACAAGCTTTAGAATTCCTTCCTAAGTATGAGTGTCTTTATACTGTTCAGGAAAAAATCATGCAACTTACCAAACAAATAATTATAGGGCACTTATAATCCAACTATATTGACATCAATTTTATTATATTACCATAATTTCATTATCACATTATTTCAATCAATGACACATGTACAGTAGTAAAATGGAAATAGATGGAAGGTTATTATTAGAAATATTGATATAAAACTTGGTGATAATAAACCATCAAAGGATGTTATATTATATAGCTGGATTGATAAGGTACAGTATAATATATTGATTTACTTAGCACCTGGAAAAGAGCAAGGTAACCGTATCTAACTGTACATGTTTGTAATAAGTGAGTATACACATCCACAGCATATTCTTGTTAAAAGTCTCCAAAACAAATTGGGATCAAAACTTAGATTGTACAATGTATTGTCCTGTGTCTCCCTCTCTCTATATATAAGCTCATACATAAGTGTAATTGTGAGTTTCTGATTTTATGGTTATATAGTACTTCAGCATCCATGCTTTCATCCGACTAGAATAAACTTTTGGTTCTGAAAAAAAATTGTACACTAGCTTATTATTAGCAACTGAGACCTTTTATAAGGTAATCAAACACATTTATAGTTCAGTATATAGATTATATACTGATACATCATGTACAGCATTTCTTTGAGCGAAGGAAGTATTAATTGTATATCCTTCGATAAATTTCGAAAAAAAAAAACGTTGTATAACACACAAATCTTTTTATTCAAAGCTAAATAATCAGTACTGAAAATATGTAAATACACAACTGACTGGGGAAAAAATCAGAATGAAATTAACCCATTCACCCTTAAAGTCTCATTTGACACTTAAAAATTAAAGACTAGGTATTAGTCCAGTTTAAATATGTAGGGGTGAATGTCTGTGTTTAACGAAAAATACATAAGTTTCCTCTACAGAGTTTCAAACCAGAAATTCAGGTGTCATGTATATAAATATCTACTGCTAAATTTGAGGCAGAAAGTGGAGCTGTGTACTTCCTACCACAGGTCACGATCCGTTGGGTCACATCTGTTCCAGAAGTCAACACAGTTTATTTTTACACCGTATTATAAACATAAACTTAATCATATTTAGCATTGTGGTGGGATCTTGTACGATGACAGCTGATTAGTAGCGAGACTCTCTCCGTGGTCTCAGCTGATGAAAGCCTTGTTAGATTGAGAAACTTAATTCAGCTTACATTTTCACATTCTAATTATATTTGTTTATTGTTTAAAACATGTAGCAATGATTACAGTCAGACATTTCACATTGTTTTGAAATCTATAATGGGACTTAGCCTGCTTTGACTGACATTAGTTCTTTGAAATATCGCTATTAAGTTACTTGATGTAACCTGTTTATGCTAAGGACTTGTGTTGACCGAATTACACATGATACACTTGATATCTTAAGGATGCATGCATGTGTTGACCAAATTACACATGATACACTTGATATCTTAAGGATGCATGCACGTGTTGACCGAATTACACATGATACACTTGATATCTTAAGGATGCATGCACTGTCACACATATGTTACACCACTCCCCTTTGCCCCATGCAAGCCATTATGTATATATATATATGCCTTACATCTCAGGGTTAACAAGGATATGATACATTATTGCAATACAACATTGTTGCACTGGCTTACATTGGTCAACAAAATTTCCATAGCCCTTTTTTTGCATGAATAGATGTGTTTTTTTTCGTTTTTTTCTTCTCAATATATTTGGAGGAGAATAACCAAGAGGCTTAGGGTGATAAAATTGGCCAGTAGTGTGCTTGGTTTAGGGGCTATCAAGTTTGCTCAAATGAATGACCTTAACCCACTTCAAGGTCACAGGGGTCAAATTTGTTAAAACTTTGAATATTTTTTCTGAATAACCAAGACACCTACGTATACGGTTATGATATTCTAGGCCAGTAGCATGATTGAATGAAGTGCTATCAATTTTGTTCCAATAAATGACCTTGAACTTCTTCCGAGGTCACACAGTGGTAATGTTTGTAAGGTAACGGGGTAATGATGACATGTATGCATTAGCATGTTTGGATGAAAGGAAGTCAAATTGTTCAAAGGAAATTATACCTTGAACCACTTTAAAATGGGCATGGAAGTCATTAGTGCTTTAAAGTATTGGATTTAAATTAATGATCCAGAGAAACAATGGAGGGTAAATGTTGGTAAAGTAATTTTACCATAAAAGTCTTACAACGAAGATTCATAAGGTGCAGATTAATAAGATTTTCCAACAAAGATCCGTAATTTGTAGTATAGCCTTAATTTTCATAAATCTGACCTTGAAAATCTTTGAAGGTCACAGATGTAAGATGAATAACAGGTGAGCAATACAGGCCCTTTGTGCATCTTGTTTTAGACCACAGCGAGGTTATAAATATTCCAGTCTGTAGTTTCCTAACACCATGACTTCATTTTCCACAACTAGAACTATTTTTTTTATGCGTAGAATACCTAAAATTTTCATTGGATCAAAATGATAATTCATATTTGAAATATTTGGAAATAACATTCTTTAAAAACTGTATCCATTACGTTATAAAGAATTTAAATAAGGACAGTATGCTTTGTTTTTATTATGGCAGTTATTATTCACATGAAATGGTGTTGATATGTGACCTTAACCTTGATATGATGATATTGACCTAATTACAGAACGTGGTTGGATTTCTTGTTGATCTGGCACCCTGGGAGAGGTGAAAACGGCCGGCTTCAGGCTGACAGTGTGGGACTCTGCCAAAACTAGGGTGTGCTTCAAGGTGAAGAAAAAAATTGGTGAGTAACAAGCTTCATAGTGATTAAATCAAAAGTAAGAGTCTGCTTCAAGTCACCAATACAGTGTGCTTTAAGGTAAAGAAATGCATAGGTCTACTTCAAAGTAAAGATATTATGTAGCTCTGCTTCAGGGTAAAGAAATTATATAGGTCTGCCTCATGATCAAGGTAAAGAAATAGCACAAGTCTGCTCCAATGTAAAGATATTATATAGGTCTGCTTCAAGGTAAAGAAATAGCACACGTCTGCTTCAAGATAAAGAAATAATACAGGTCTGTTTCAAGGAAAGGAAAGGAAAAACACAAGTCAACTTCAAGGTAAAGAAAATTATACAGGTCTGCTTTAAGGAAAAGAGATTATACAGGTCTGCTTCAAGTTTAAGAAATAGCACAAGTCTGTTTCAATGTAAAGAAATAGCACAAGTCTGCTTCAAGGTAAAGTAATTATACATGTCTGTTTCAAGGAAAGGAAAAACTTAAGTCAACTTCAAGGTAAAAAAAGTATACAATTCTACCTCAAGGTAAAAAATGCAATCTGACTAAGGTAAAGAAAATTTAAGTCATCTTTCAGGCAAAGGAGACAAAGATTTCTTTAAGGAGAAGAAACTAAAATTAGTCTACTGTAAGATAAAAAGGCAAAACTGTGGTATGCTTTAAGGTGATGAAGTAGAAAAAATGGATTTGCTTCAAGGTCCAACAGAAGTAGGTCAGTTTTGCAGAAATCAGGGGACAAGTTTACTTCACGATGACAGAAATATAGGATGATGGAATCTTAAAAATAAGGGCATGCTTTTAATTCAAGATGAAGAAAAAATAACAATTGCATGTAAAGTAGAAAGTGAATAAAATGTTTTTTTGTGGTCTAGTGAAAAAAATGGTGAGTATTTAGCTTAGGAATATGGATTTTAATCTGATTTTGCAGACCTTGTATCTTGTATAATTAGGGTAAAATGTGTGTGATAAATGTTTGATCATGGAGGGCACAACGTACCTAGTGCCCCTGTAGCTACATGTTGTAACTGGTTTCATTAACTTGCAAAACAAATTTGAATGTTCTTCATGATGAATTTGGAACAGTTCAGCAGGTTTTCAAATTAAAGAAAACAGATTTAATCAATAAGATTACGATAATAATAAAAGGATGAAATCCTCCTATAAAATACACTCTTATTTGTTTGCTCACCACAAATAAGGCCTTGCTTACCATGTAACCTCACAAGGTCACAGAGATTATACTTGTGGGGAATTGTTGACAGGATAAACTATCAACAAGATAAGATAGCGTTATGTAATCCGAGAGCACCTGTATTATAGCAAACGGTTTGTGTAAACAATACAAAGATCCCTAGTGTGGCAAGTATGTGATCCTCTCCCTGTATACATTATACAGAACCCTAAATAATTCAAATACATACCACCAAATAAGGCAAGTATGGGAGCCTCTCACTAGTTGTCATGGTATTTACCTTAGTTGTTGTGTGGCTCTACCATCACTGGCCACTGTTGTCATGGTATTGATATTAGCTGTTGTTTGACTCTACCATCAATGGCCACTGTTGTCATGGTATTGACCTTAGTTGTTGTGTGGTTCTACGATCACTGGCCACTGTTGTCATGGTATTGATATTAGCTGTTGTGTGACTCTACCATCAATGGCCACTGTTGTCATGGTATTGACCTTAGTTGTTGTGTGGCTCTACCATCACTGGACACTGTTGTCATGGTATTGATATTAGCTTCTGTGTGGCCGTTCCATCACTGGACACTGTTGTCATGGTATTGACCTTAGTTGTTGTGTGGCTCTACCATCAATAGCCACTGTTGTCATGGTATTTACCTAAGTTGTTGTGTGACTCTACCATCAATGGCCACTGTTGTCATAGTATTTACTTTAGTTGTTGTGTGGCTCTACCATCACTGGACACTGTTGTCATGGTATTGATATTAGCTGCTGTGTGGCCCTTCCATCACTGGACACTGTTGTCATGGTATTGACCTTAGTTGTTGTGTGGCCCTACCATCAATGGCCACTGTTGTCATGGTATTTACCTAAGTTGTTGTGTGACTCTACCATCAATGGCCACTGTTATCATGGTATTGACCTTAGCTGTTGTGTTGTCCTTCCATCACTGGAGACTGTTGTCATGGTATTGACCTTAGCTGTTGTGAGGCCCTTCCATCACTGGAGACTGTTGTCATGGTATTGACGTTAGCTGTTGTGTGCCCCTTCCATCACTAGACACTGTTATCATGGTATTCACCTTAGTTGTTGTGTGGCCCTACCATCACTGGCCACTATTGTGATGGTATTGACCTTAGCTGCCGTGTGGCCCTTCCATCATCGGACCCTGTTGTCATGGTATTGTCCTTAGTTGTTGTGTGGCCCTACCAGCACTGGTCACCGTGTCATGGTATTGATCTTAGCTGCTTTGTGGCCCTTCCATCACGGGACACTGTTGTCATGGAATTGACCTTAGCTGCTGTGTGTCCCTTCCATCACTGGACAATGTTGATATTAGCTGTTGTGTAGCCCTTCCATCACTGGAACCTGTTGTCATGGTATTGCCCTTAGCTGTTGTGTGGCGCTCCCCTCAATGGCCACTGTTGTCGTGGTATTCACCTAAGTTGTTGTGTGGCTCTACCATCTCTGGCCACTGTTGTCATGATGTTTACCTTAGTTGTTGTGTGCCCCTTCCATCACTAGACACTGTTGTCATGGTATTGCCCTTAGCTGTTGTGTGGCGCTCCCCTCAATGGCCACTGTTGTCGTGGTATTCACCTAAGTTGTTGTGTGGCTCTTCCATCAATGGCCACTGTTGTCGTGGTATTCACCTAAGTTGTTGTGTGGCTCTTCCATCATTGGACACTGTTGTCATGGGATTGACCTTAGCTTCTGTGTGGCCCTTCCATCCCTGGACACTGTTTTCATGGTATTGACCTAAGCTCTTAATTTGTCCTTCCATCACTGGATACTGTTGTTATGGTAAAGACCTTAGTTGTTTTGTGGCCCTTCAATCACTAGACACTGTTATCATGGTATTCACCTTAGTTGTTGTGTGGCTTTACATCACTGGACACTGTTTTCATGGTATTGACCTAAGCTCTTAATTTGTCCTTCCATCACTGGAGACTGTTGTCATGGTATTGCCCTTAGCTGTTGTGTGGCGCTCCCCTCAATGGCCACTGTTGTCATGGGATTGACCTTAGCTACTGTGTGGCCCTTCCATCCCTGGACACTGTTGTCATGGTAGTTGTCATGGTGTTGACCTTAGCTGTTGTGGGGCCCTTCCATCACTGGAACCTGTTGTCATGGTATTGCCCTTAGCTGTTGTGTGGCGCTCCCCTCAATGGCCACTGTTGTCATGATGTTTACCTTAGTTGTTGTGGGGCTCTACCATCACTGGACACTTTTGTCATGGTATTGACCTAAGCTGTTGTGTTGTCCTTCCATCACTGGATACTGTTGTCATGGTATTGGCCTTAGTTGTTGTGTGGCCCTACCAGCACTGGTCACCGTGTCATGGTATTGATATTAGCTGCTGTGTGCCCTTCCATCACTGGATACTGTTGTCATGGGATTTACCTAAGTTGTTGTGTGGCTCTTCCATCACTGGACACTTTTGTCATGGTATTGACCTTTGCTGCTGTGTGGCCCTTCTATCACTGGACACTGTTGTCATGGTATTTACCTTAGCTGTTGTGTGGCCCTTCCATCATTGGACACTGTTGTCATGGTATTGATATTAGCTGTTGTGTGGCCCTTCCATCACTGGACACTGTTGTCATGGTATTTAGTTGTTGTGTGGCTCTACCATCACTGGACACTGTTGTCATGGTATTGACCTTAGCTGCTGTGTGGCCCTTCCATCACTAGACACTGTTGTCATGGTATTGACCTTATTTTTTTCTCTATAAAGATCCAACTACTAGGATATGGTTGATTAAATAAATTTATCAACTTGAAATATGATAATACCTTGAATGTGTACATATTTCAGGGTGTCAAGATCAAAGTTGTTGTAACTATTTATAGAAAATTATCAAACACTGAAACTAATTTCACATGGTGGTGGGAGCACACTTGTTATATTAGATAATCATATAATCTCCCATATGGTAGTTTTATATTGTTGGAAAAAACCCACATGAAATATATAGTAAAGTTGAAAAAAAAATTATATATATATATAACTGCATGTGCATTTTAAGAAATTTAGAGCAAGGTTAATTTTGAACATTTAATTTACAATGCCTTGGAAATAAACACCAAGCCTGATTATTAGACCGATCGTAGAAATAAATCATTGTTTACCCTGATATAGGTAGAGAAACCCCTGAGGCAGGACCCCTCAAATCAGGGAAATCGGGCAATGGTTTCCCTATTGGTGGGCCCCTCACATTATTCAGTAGTATTACGTTATCTCGTTTGTAGTAAAATCTGTGCGCCTGGTTAGAGATATCCTTTGAACTTAAGTGAACAGGTACACTAATATAACTGTTTAGTAAGGTAAGGTAACCGTTATGTGAAAAAAAATGATTAACTTTCCTATTCACCCCAAATTCATGAATTACTTTTTCTTCTTAATTTAAAAAAATAAAAATTCAAATGGGATGACAAATATTTTCCAGAACTTGTGTTACTGATAAAAACTGTTTGTAGAAGTTTGTGTCCCGAGGCTTAATCGCTATATAACAAACAGGCGTTTACCTGTACCTGTAGGAATCTAATCAGACAGGTTGACATGTAAGGAGTTTGTCCCAAGGTCAACATATTTCCTACACACTTGCTGACACAAATGCAAAGGTAAAAATTTTGAAAGTTTTGCACTTTAATATCTTGAGAATCATAACTGTCTTTTGTTTGGGAAAAAATATGAATTTAATTAGTTTCCATTCAAATTCTTATAATGATCAGAGGATTTGAGCCTGGGTTGGGTAACAGATTATCATTTAGAAGACTGCTTTGATATGAGTGAAAATATTTTAACCCAATTTGTATCAAAGATCCCTGGAGCAAGGTGACATTGTTTAACTGTCCCATGGACATAAGATATGGGCCTGGGATGGGAAATAAGTCAATATTTAAAAGACTATTTCCGTATGAGTAAAGAAATTTTAATCTGATTTGGTTTTAAGAATTCCTGGCCCAAGGGGACCTAATATTGTATAAATAAGTGTAATGTGACCTAATCAACTGTTGGCAGAAGGGCAGGGTATAGTAATGGTAAACCTTTAACTCATTCACCCCTGAAAACACATTTGAACTCTTCCAGTTCCAAGGTTTTAATAGTTCATTATGAAATTTCAGGGATGAATGAGTTAACAGACTGTTCTTATTGAGATTTAAAACTGTTAGATTTGGTGTGATAGAAGTGTACCCATACCTAGAGCATTCTTCGGTTAAGGGGATTTAAGGGTGACAGAAGTGATGAAAGTACAGGCCTTTATATCGTGGAAATATAACATGGTGTAATAGTAACCACTATAGGCTTTCAGGCATGATATAAAAACAACAGTCATTATCTAAAAGTTTCAGTTACTATATTTTCGCCTGATCTAAGCCTGTAATTACTCCGCTCATTGATGTAAATTATCGTAATGGATATAATTATATTAAAGACCTGGTAAACCATTTAGGAAATAGTGTATTGGCCTTTTGTTTATTCTACTATAACAGTAACTTTAGCTTTTACACTAACGTTAGACCTCTAAATAATGATCAATAAAGTTTATTTTGTTCGATCCCCCGTACAACTGCCACAAACTGTGACTTACCTATTAGAAAAGTTTTCCCGGCACAACAACAGCTTATTTGATAAATTGTTTCGGAAATTAAAACCCTACCTTGTGGGATTTTCATGAAAAAATAATAAAGATGAAAAAAAGTGAACATTGTCAACAACATTGTTCTAAGTGTAAAAAGTCAGTGGGGCTTGACTGGGATTCAAACCCCGGACTTAATATTGTTATGCTATGAGTAAAACTTACTGTGTTACCGTAAGCTATTGGATGGCCTGTATATCTGTTGGGGGAATAAATCCAATCTCACCAAATATCTATACTCAACAGTTTACCTTATATGAATACCAGTAACGCATTGTCTAAATACTTGATATTATTCACTGAAGATGATAGTCTAGTAAATATCTCAAATTAAATATCCGTAGTGAAAGGGTTACTATATTTCAAGAATATTGAACTAGTCTGTTTACATCAAGGAGTTACTTCCGGAACCTTATCCAAATCATCATATCAATGTATAAATATATGTCTGTGTTAACGTTTCTTACCACCTGTTGTCACCTTAGGAGAGGACTTAGATAGGCTATGCCTGATGTCTGATCCTAATTGACTTTTGTTTATATTGTCAATACAATTTGTTGAAATTGAATTGAAATTGAAGCTATTGGAAATATCCAGCTTGCCCAACTGTGCTACAGTTATAGCCAAAATGAAATATTCTCAGGGACATGGATCTTTAAACATAAGTTTCCATATTTTGATTTATATTACTGTGTAGTTAATTTAGCACTCTCAGGTAGTGCAGCCGTTAAGTTACTCAATGATTTATTAAAACAGAGGAATGATTCCAAAGTGTCCTTTTCTGATGAAAGTAATTGAAATGTAAACTTTATTTATTTTGCAACACTTATGAAACAAGTAATTTCATCTTATATTAGTCAGTCTAGTTGGCCGGGATATTATCGCACGGGGGGTTCTGTCTTCATGTTGGAGGAAACATTTTCAAATTCCCACACTTTCTCATATAAAAAAACCTGCTAAACTATCAGCTTGTTAATGTCATATTGTACCTAATGAACCGTTAATTAGCGTGTTTTTTCACGGTGTATATGTGTCCAATAAGTCGAGAATTTAAGGTCAGAAGGTTTTATTATTACCCAAAAACCAATATATAAGATGTCAGATACATGTAGGACGTATTATTGGGCAATATCAAATCAACCATAAAATCTGACCACACAATTCGTTTTAGTACCTAAAGTTTTCGACTCTCTGATAACATAGGGTTTGTTCGAATATAAACCTACAGGAGTGTCTTGACCGCCATGTTTAAAAGTATCATCATCAGAGTTAAAAAGACAGCTCTATATGTCCTAATGCCAGTATGATGGGTTTGCTATTGGATATTTACATACGATTGTGATATACCTGTCGACACAACAATTTGGCCAGTTCAGGTTCTACCAGGCCGGTCGGACAGGTACGTAGGAATCACTTAGCTTGTCCTGTATTCATTTTTTTTTATACCTTTTTCGGAGACATTTTTACGATCAACACATACTGGATGTTTGTGTGTTGAGTGATTACCTGGTATAATTCATTCATATAAACATAATGACCTCATAGATTATACAGGTTAATATAAACTTCAGTGAGGTCATGCATTTAATGTTTTCCTTAAATGATAAACAGGAGTTTAGGTCATGGAAGGAAAATGTTTCGATTAAGCTGCTAAATCTTTTTGTATTAAACTTGAATTCTCTATATGCGATTTCATATTTTCTAGAAAACAGTTCCAAAAGAATTTTAAAATACAATCTATAATGACATGTGTAGGAATATACCAAAACTGAAAATGTTTTACCCAGTGCAAATATTAAAAAGTTTTGCCTTTCACAAGTAAATTTCATATTAGATAATGTTATTTTTTTTCTTTAAAACCTGAAGGAATAAATGTCACTGTATTTATATTTTGGTAATCATATATCCAAGGCTTTGTTTACTCATTTACCCCTGAAATTTCATAATGAACTATTCCAACCTTTGAACCGGAAGAGTTCAAATGTATCTTCAGGGATGAATGAGTTAAGGTGGCTCCACACTTTCGCAATTAACCAGCAAAATTCGTTGAAACTTTCATATAATTGTTATGCAACTATGTCGAGTTGATTTTATGAAAATCTAAACATTCCGATAGTTTGGGGAATTTTTTGGAAAAAATACCAAAAAATTGAATTTTCGTCAATTCTAATATTTTCCGTTTTTTTTTGTGTGTGGCATTGTTCGGAACAATAACAACAATAATAAAATGAAAAGAAGCATTTCTAATTAACCCTACAAATATTTTATTTATCGCAAAATATGTAACACATGTTACACAAAGTGTTTTTTATTGAATTTGTACGGATAAAAGTGATTATCTACAAGCTAAAAGCACCCAGGACACAAAGTTCTATACATATAGAGTGGGAAATTGAACAAAATATACACAATGGCTTTATAATTAATTTATTTTACATTTTACAATCACTTTGATCCGGGTGAGAGTTATCTTCCT